CTTGTGAAAAGAAAAATACAGTGTGATCTCATCATGAACTCAGTATAGGATCACTAAAGCAACCAAATAACCAGGGAAGAAACTGAAAACAGAATTATCCATGGAGAGAGGGACAATCCAGACATTTACCCAGAACCAAATAGGCAAAGGCATCAACTCTCACATTTGTGTGGGCTCTGGGACACATATGTGTGGTATTAAATCCCACTTCTTCCCTTTGTAGCTTGGACAAGTTAACTCGTACCTTTGACTATTAGGTGGAGCTATAAACATGTATAACCAACCTCATAGGGTTGCAGTTAGCACTGAGTGAGATTGCCCACATACAGTGCATGTAGTTTATAGTAAGCACTCAATAACAGTTAGTTGATATATAAGCCTTTAGAACTAGCATCAGCAAACTGATATTACCATTTATGCACTGCTTTTAAAGCACGTATCTGCAATGTGAATTCATTTGACCATCAAGTGTCTGCTGAGCACCTATTGTGTGCCATACACTGTGTTCCAGGTGCCTGATAGCTACAAAAAGACAAAATATCTACATAAATTTCCTGATATATTCTAGCAGGGACGGTGGTGAGGTGGTGGAAAAAGAAAACTAGAGGCGAGATAGGGGGAGCTTCATGAGTTCTGGCGGGCAGGTGTGATCAGCAGAGGCCTCACTGAGGCGGCGACATCCCAGAAGACTTAAAGAGGAGTTAGACGTGTGGTTATCTGGGAGGAGAGCATCCATGGACGAGGAAGGGCCAGTGGGTGTGCCCATCACATCTGAGGTCAGCAAGGAGGCGAGACAGGCTCGAGTAGACGGAGAAAGGAGAGAGTAGCAGGAGCTAAAGCTGAAACAATTTTATTTGTGAGGCAAACAGCACATGCTGCTGGTCCACTCCCCACGTGGGAGCCAGGCCGTCAATCTGGATCTGCCTGGTGAGTGGAAGGATCCAACCACTGGAGCTATCACCGCTGCTTGCAAGGGTTTGCATTAGGAGGAATTTGGAATTGGTTGCAGAACTGGAACTTGAAGTCAGGCACTCCCATATGGGATACAGATATCCCAATAGGTGGCCTAACTGGTAGTCCAAACACTGACCTCCTATTGTGGACTTTTTAGTAGAGGAGATGATGTTATCCATACACAGGGCTGGGTAGCCCATTTTTCCAGCCATTGTTAACTTCTCCCACTAGAAGAAGTTAACACTTCATCCACCTCATCACTGACTCAACATTCTAAGCTTCTTTACCCAGGATTTGCCTTCACATGGAATCATATGGGCCAAATATCCATGTTGTACATTTATGTGATTCTACTTCTCACTCTAACAGCCCTAATTGAGGTAATTAACCTTTAGATTAATAAATCCGAATCTGTGAATTTGCTAATTGTTTCTTCCTCTTGTGAATATCAACCAGCATTCAGTTCTTAGCAATTCAAAAATATACATTGTGGAGGCACACATAAGCATAGTCATGAGAAAAAGCCATCCGTATTTGTTTCTAAGTTAATAAACACAGCATTTTTTGAGATTGGGGTGGACATTGTGGCAAAGCAGGTCAAACTGCCTCTGGGGACATCTGCATGCCATACTGGAGTGCCTGGGATCAAGTTCAGCCTCTACTTCCAATCCAGCTTTCTGCTAATTTGTCTGAGATGCAGTGGATGATGGCCCAGGTACTTGGGGTCCTGCCACCAACATGGAAGACTTGGATAGGCTCTGGCTCCTGGCTTTGGCCTGATTTAGCTGTGGCTGTTGCGAGCACTTGGGGAGTGAAACAGCAAGTAGAAGATCAATGTCTGTATGTCTTTCTCTCTCATTCTACCTTTCAAATAAACAGAGAGAAAGAGAGAGAGAGAGACTTAGACTCTTATCCCATGCTGATTTGCTAACTTATGAAGTCATGTCTCAATCACAATTCTCTCTGGAGCAGATTTTCAACTTTATCTAGTTATGTAGTAATGTAATTATAAATAAAATCAAAGTTCAATTAGATTGACTTTGGCTTCCTCATTTAGTTTTTAATCTGTAAGTGACTGGGAATTTTTACTTGGGTTTTGTTTTCATGAAAACTCAATTAGATGATTAGTACTTCATTAAGACAACAAGAAGTTTTAAAGTAGCCTGTTCCCTTAAAATCTATTTAAGAACAAAAGAGAATTAAAACCAGATAAGCTGTGTAATTGTAGTAAATGACACCACATTGCTTCACAATGACCCTGATTTATCATTTTAGACATTGTAGCCGATAAGTTCACTTGGAAATAGAGCTGCAGACAAAGAAGTTAGGATAATGAAAACACTGCACAGATTTAATGATTGCCTTAGTTTCCATCAAGGAAGTAAGTGTCTTACAGTACAAAGTTTTGTTGTTGGGTAGGAAGACTGAAGGCATCTGGCTTGAATTCATTGATTCTAAGCTGTTTTTCATCTATCATCATTAATACAAGGCTGGTTACTAGAGAAAATACAAGAATAAAGCAGATATTCTCTATAAAGGATAAATTAGCAAATACAGTGGTCTCCTGAGTGTCCTCTAGATGTGGCACATGAGGGGCTGTGACCAAAATGCAAGAAATGTGAGCTGCTGCTGCCTGGGGGACAAATGGGGCTGACTCCTTCACGTGGATGTAGGCAATGTGACCCCCGGGGCAGCCACTTCCTGCCACCTGAGACAAGAATCTGGCATTACAGATCAGGTTTCACAAGAGAAGCCCAAATTCCTGCCATTTAAGTGCCAAGTTTTCCGATTTTTAAATAGTAGCTGTATTAAAAAAAAAAAAAAAAAACTATTTGGTCAACAATTGCAAGCCCAACAAAACATGCCCACAGGCTACATTCAGTGTATAGTCTGCCTCGCTGTCACATCTTGGTGTTCATTTTAGACAGTGGAACTGAAAACAGAGGAATTCCTTTTCTTGTATTCGTGATTGGGTTCCAGAAGTCTCCCCCACTAGAAGTCACCCAGTTTAATTTTTTAATTCTTTTGACAGGCAGAGTTAGAGAGAAAGGTCTTCCTTCTGTTGGTTCACCCCCCAGATGGCTGCTACGGCCGACACGCTGCGCCAATCCGAAACCAGGAGCCAGGTGCTTCCTCCTGGTCTCCCATGGGGTGCAGGGCCCAAGCACTTGGGCCATCCTCCACTGCCTTCCCGGGCCACAGCAGAGAGCTGGACTGGAAGAGGAGCAACCGGGACAGAATAGGCGCCCCAACCGGGACTAGAACCCGGGGTGCCAGCACCACAGGAGGAGGATTAACCTAGTGAGTCACGGTGCTGGCCCAGTTGTTTCATTTTCTGACACCTTTTGTCAGGTACAGTATTCTATTGATTTTAGCAACAGTGGCTGTTATTTGAGTCATCTATCATTGTAATTATCAATATGCTACATCAATATACAGAATTTAAATACATGCTTTTTTTTCCAATTTTGTTACCTTATTCTCCTAAATAATTACAAGTTAAAGGAACAAATCTATAAGCCCAGTTTGCAGTTCAGAAACCAGAAGCATGGAACAATTAAACTACTCACAGTGAAACATTACAGCTAAGAGCAAATCAGAAATTAAAACTCAGTTTTATTTACTCTGATTTGAGTCTTAGTTATGATATAGTTTATTTTTATGTGAGTTGATCATCCAATTAATATGGAACCTCACCATAAAAAAAATAAAAATAGGGGCTGATGCGTAGTGCAGTGGGTTAAGACGCTACTTGCATTCGGCATTTCACATCAGTGGGCCAGTTTGAGTCCTGGCTGCTCTGCTTCAAAGCCAGCTTCCTGCTAATACTCCTGGGAAAGCATCAGAAGATAGCCCAAGTACTTGTACCCCTACCACCCACGTGGGAGAGACCCAGATGGAGTTCTGGGCTCCTGGCTTCAGCCTGGCCCAGACTTTGTCATTGTACAAGGTCATTTGGGGAGTGAACTAACTGATGTCACTTTGTCTTTCAAATAAACACAAAATGTTTTTAAAGAATATACAAAGAGGGGCCAGAACTGTGGCATAGCGGGTAAAGCTGCCATCTGCAATGCCGACATCCCACATGGGCGCTAGTTCAAGTCCTGGCTGCTCCACTTCCAATTCATCTCTCTGCTGTGGCCTGGGGAAGCAGTAGATGACCCAAGTTCTTGGATGCCTGCACCTGCGTGGGAGACACAGAAGAAACTCCTGGCTTCAGATTGGCGCAGCTCTGGCCATTGTGGCCAACTGGGGAGTGAACCAGCAGATGGAAGACCTCTTTTTCTTTCTGCCTCTCCTTCTCTTCTGTGTAACTCTGACTCTCAAACAAATAAACCTTTTAAAAAATATATACTTAAAGTTTTTTGGAAAATGCAAAAGTTTATTTTGATTTTGATGAAAGAAATTTGAAATTCATGCATTTTTTCCATTATATGAATTTTTCATGAAATTTCTGGAAACCCCTCATAAAACATTACTCTGTGGAGAAACTAAATTACATGCTTGATGTCTTTCTGAAAAATTATGTAGGCAAGATAAAGAAACATCTGCTAAAAGGCAATGGTGGCATACATGTGTTTTCAAATGGAACTTTAAAAAATGTTTACTTCCATCTACTTCAAAGGCAGAGCATCACAAAGAGAGATCAAAAGATCTTGTATCTGCTGGTGTACTACCCAAACATCTGCAATAGCCAGGACCTGGCCAGGCTAAAGCCAGGAGGCAAGAACTCCATCTGGGTTTCCTATGTGGGTGGCAAGGACCCAAGTTCTTGAGACATCATCTCTTGTCTTCCAGGATGCATCAGCAAGAAGCTGGATTGGAAGTGGAGGTGCCAGGACTCAAACTGGCACTACCTATGGCACAAAGACATCCCACGTGGCAGCTTAACCTCTTGGGCCACAACACTGACCCTTTCAATGAATTCTGAATTAGTTTTTATAAAATTAAATGTCCCTTATATTTACTGGTCTCAGGACCACTGAAACATAAAGAATCTATTTGTTAAAGAAATAAATCGAGCATTAAAAAAAGACAAACTAAACGATGGTTATACGTTTTTATTTGTGACATTTGAATTCCTAAGTTCACATAGAACTGATTTGATAAATATCTTTAATTTTTCTTGCTTTTCTAATTGATTTAATTATGTTAGTCTGCTTTTCTTACAGTCAAATTCTTAATCCAATTACAATTGGAACTAAAAATATAGTAAGTATTTTTTTCCAGATGTAGGTAAAAAAGATACAGGAAAATGTTGTAATCAGAACACTAGAAGCTAGTAAAACAGCTTAATTGTTTGATTAGAAATGGATTCTTCTCTCCATAAGTTATACAAATCCTTATATAATCATCAAAAACTCTTACTCCAAATTAATACCTGCACAGGGGGAAACAGTTTGTTATAAAAGTTTTGCATTGGTATACTTTTTAAAACATAAAAGCAAACATTATTCCAAAACACACATTGTTTGGCTAATTCTAGAAGAGAATTATCAATTTCTTCAAGGACCAAAATGATCAGAGCAGGAATGACAATATTATCCAAATGATCCTCTATCTCACTGTAGCGATTGTGTCTTTGTACATCTTTCTTGAAGACATGGCCAAATTTTTCCTATAATATTTATTTTACTCACAGTGTTATCCATGGGTTGTGGAAGGGATAGAACATTAGAGATTAGAAAAGATGAGACAAAAAGATGAGAGGAATCCTATCCAAGACCCTTACTGCTTTGCCATTTACAAAAGTGAGTAACCAAAAGAAAAACCAACACATTGCAATCTCATGAGGAATGTTAAAAGGAGAAGGAAAGGAAGGCAGCCCAAAGTGGTAGGATAGCATAAAGAATTTTGTGTGGGCAATTAAAATAGAAAAGCAAATTTCTAACTGTATAAAAAGCAAGCCAGGACTCAGGAAAGACACAATATAGTTTACAGAAGGCATAAAGTCATGTATTGTGCTCACCGTTGGTCACATCCATAATGCTGAGATGGCGAGAAGTATGAAAAAGTTTTAAGTTGAACTACAGAATTGTTAAACAATGGAGCAACAGACTTCAGAGAGAATAGTGCTGTTGGAGAGAGAACTCTAAAGCAAAGACTGCAGGACAATCAATAAGATTCTTCATTTAACAGGCAGGCAAATAACACTCTCACTTATTTTTACTAGTCCTATATAGTCTTCAGATCTCTCTCAATGGGGCACAGCACAAAAGATGGGCTGAAACTCAAAATCAGACTTTGGCTTGAATTGCATGGAAGGATTTCAGGTGCTGTAAATTGCTCACTCGGAGACTCCAAAGGATGCCATAGGATTTCTATGCTTAAAGAACTGGGAGGAATGTTACTGACACAGGTCGGGAGGTGGAAGGGATGCAGTAAGGAATCTGTCAAAGTTTCTTTCTCTCATCCTGGTTTTCAGAGTGTGCTCTTAGCAATGAGAAACTGCCCAACAAAGAGAAAATTAACAACCTATGGAGCAACAATGACTCTAGAGCAATGTTTCTCGGTCTTCTTTTTTCCCCCATGGACCAGATGGTTTCCTAAGCATCTTCACCACGCCCTGTGTCGTCCCTGGTGAAATTCCAATACCATAATAGATACTTCATACCTTTGTATGTACAGTGGCCCTCTGGAGGGCCTCAGCCAGTGTCAGGTCTATGACTTTTTCCCTCAAACAACAACTGGCAATCGCCCTTCCCAAGAACCCATAAGGCTAAATGCGAGGGCACTGATTCCAGGGGGAAAAGTTGTATGTATTTCACCTCTGGCTCTATTTCAACCAGGACCACGCGAATGCTCCTAAGCCAGCAGACTGAGGCACTGCCTACAGGCGGCACCTTCCTGCTTCTCCTTCCAGCTCTCACTGCTCTAGGATCTCATTGCAATGGTTATGCTCTTTCAAAGTCCCGTGCCGTGAGAATAAGCAATGAGCATCCATAATATGCAAGACTCCCACTCTATAATCAAATGTACATGTACTCAACTGTGAAGCTCCACCATGCATTATGGGACTTAATAAAGCCTGGATCTGGCAGGTAACGCCTGAACTTGCAGATCCATCTTAATATCATAAAGAGACAACTAGACAGTATGTGCATTCTGCCATGATGCAATAGAAAGGAAACATCTCTTAGATGGTATCCTTGAAAAAAAAAACAAAGTTTACTATGAATCTAACATTGAAGAAAGAATCAGAGAAAAAAATTAAGACTTTGGGGACAGCGCTGCGGCTCACTAGGCTAATCCTCCGCCTGCAGCACTGGCATCCCGGGTTCTAGTCCTGGTTGGGGCGCCTATTCTGTCCCGGTTGCTCCTCTTCCAGTCCAGCTCTCTGCTGTGGCCCGGGAAGGCAGTGGAGGATGGCCCAAGTGCTTGGGCCCTGCACCCCATGGGAGACCAGGAGGAAGCACCTGGCTCCTGGCTTTGGAGTGGCGCAGCGTGCCGGCTGTAGTGACCATTTGGGGGAGTGAACCAATGGAAAGAAGACCTTTCTCTCTGTCTCTCTCTCTCTCACTGTCTAACTCTGCCTGTCAAAATAAAAAAAAAAAATTAAGACTGTGGGACATTCCATAAACCACCTAGCCTATACTCTTTAATGTGTCACAAAAGATACCACACACATACACACACACACACACACACACACACACACAGAACTCAACTCTACTGAAGGAAATTAAAAAAAAAATAGACAACTAAATGCAACATGTGATTTCTGATTGAGCCCTGGATTTTTTTTAAAAGAATTCCAAAGAATATTTTGGGGGCAACTGGAAGATTCTGAACATGAACTGTATTCAAATATTAGATAATAGTAATGCAGTACTGGGGTTCAATTTCTTGGATGTGATAACGATATTACAGATGGAGAAGGCATCATTCTTACAAATATGAGAAACATGGTGAAATATTTTACAAGTTCATGATGGCTGCAGCTTTCTTTGCAATGGTTCAGCAGTAAGAATGCATGTTCATGAAGAGAAAGCGAATGGGGTGAAATGTTAACGACTGGAGCATTCAAGGCGATAAGGGTCCTCGTTGAAATCTTTCCACTTTGTTCCCCAAGTAAAAAGAAAAAACAGGAGACAGAGCCAAGTTGGGAGAAGAAGCAGGGCTGTCCATGTCTGACCCAGCGACTACACAGGCCTCAGGGGCTGCGGGGCTCAGATTCCCCACCCACATTAAGAGAAACTGGGAAGATGCCAGTAGGCCAAAGAGATGAAATCACCTGTGAAGATTTTCTTCCTAATTTGCCAAACAGAGAAACACCATAATTAAAAAATAAGAACAGTTTGCCAGCATTTACCCTAGACAAATTGATTAGTGCAATTAGCAATATAACCAGGCAGAAATCGTTCCAAGAACTTTAAAAAACATTTGGATTTTTATGCTTCTGCATGTGGATTTTTAAACTGAGTGGAAATTTCATACACACAGTTAACAGTAAATAAAAGAATTTGTGACAAATGTCTTAAGATTCCAGCTTCCCATCTGACAAGGTATTATTGAAATGCAGGAACATTCAAATTTTTAACACTAAAATCCTGTGGTTTTCCATGGTACAGAGTTACAGAGGTCCTGGAGGGCGCACGCTCCACACTGTCATTTCTCTGTCCCACCGTTCTGCAGTCCCAGGTGATGCTGTGTACTGTACAGGTCAGGAACTGGGGGCTCTTGGGTCCCTAGGACATTCACAGCCAACAGCTCAGAAACACCTTAGCCGATCTTGTCTTCTCAGAGTTACTTAGGAAGCAAGAGGAGGAGGATGTCTATTGTTGATCAGAGCACAACAACACCGAGAGAGGTAGCAGCATTTGGATTCCATGAGACAACCTTTGTGAGACTCGAGGCAAGGGTCAGCCTGCTTGCTTAAGGCGACACAGAATGCCACTGTGCCCATCCAGGCAGCCCTTTCGTAAGTTTGGACAAATAAGAGTTCACGCTTTCCAGCAATCTTGGCAGCCAAAAGTGGCTGTTCAACACAAAATCAAACAAAATCAGAGTTGTTGAGTTATTCTTTAATCATTATTACATTGAGTGCACTAATACATTCTTATCTACGTCCCTTCACCAACTGGTACTTTGTTAAAGCAACTGATCACCGGAAGTGTCATCACCCCCTCGTCACAGGCTGTCAGGACCATTACAGTTTAGGGAATGAATCAGAGAAGGCAACATTTCATCAACTAAACCTCGTTTAGATTTCAAAAGGCAGGCTGCACTACAGAATGCGTCATCCTGTCTACTGGGGGAGGAGCACTGGACAGGATGGAGAAAGGAAGGTAGCTCCAGTGCCACTGTTCCCTTAGCAACGGTGGCACAATCACAGGGGGCAGACATCAGCTGTGTGCCACACACAACACGGCAGAGGGGAAGGAAACCTCAGCTGGGTTGAGGAGCACCAAGGCAAGGCTCCAAGTCACCAGGCCGAGTGGTTAACCCACATGCACCCCATATGCAACTGTCCTCTTGCTTTGTCACGGAAATGTTAGGATTCCATAGAGGCAGCCACAACCCCCTGTCCTTTAATAAGAACAAACACCGCACTAAGCAGGCCTGGGGCTCCTGCTGGTCATTCTTGGTCATTTACAGATTTCTTGGATGAAGGAACATCTTCAATGGAAGAGACAGGGAATGACAGTGGTTATCAAAAATACATTCGGATCAGGCGAACTGGTAACGTGTTAGCTTCACGCTAGTGACCAGCCTCCTCCCTGCAGTTAGCAGTGATGACCCTGTCTGGGCAGAGACAAGCCAGCGCACGGCGTGGTCCCTGATAAAACTGCTTGTGTGGCTTCAGGTCTCGCACGGCTCCACGGCCCCGTGCCACGTTAAACCACAGGAGCGGGACAGCAGCGCTCAGAGACCTGAAAGCAAGGCTTGTTAGAGAAGAACTTGCTGTGCAGCCAGAGTTCCAAAACTCACAGGAGCTCACAGAAGCCGCCCGCAGACAAGACAGGGGCGTGGAAAAGTAGGAATGCGCATCTCAGTCTCACAACCCGAATTCCAGAAAGCTCAGGCGGCAGGTCACGGGCGGCAGGTCACGGCGGAACGGGGAGTGCAGTCTTGCTCCTGGACGGTCCTCAAGCCAGAGGGTTCAGGGCTGGCCCTTGTTCCCGGTGTGGAGCCCCCGGGGCCACAGGTCTTGGCTAGCAGCACTCAGAGCATTAAGAGCACACGGAGTAAGCAGGACACGTCGCCGGGAACCGCGGCTCCCTAAACCCCTGCTCCTGGAAACAGGGGCACCATCAGTCAGGAGGGCTGCCTCCTGGGCTCAGGACTCCGGGAGGAAACAGCGTTCCTTTCTTCCGCTAGTGACACATCCTGCTCGTCATCTCCTTCTGGAAAGCAAGGGGAGAAGGGAGGTTAGGAGAAACCAGAAGCAGAGTAATGATCTGACGGGTTGAAGACACTGCTGGGGCCTCGGGACTCTTTACATGAAAGGTTGCACACACGCCCGTGAATGAGGCTCAGTGAGGAAGTGTTGCACTTGGTCGGTAGGTTCCTTTCCTCCAAGAGCTTGTTTGGGCCATCTTGCCCAAAGTCCAGGCTGGTTTTTCTGAAAAACTGCAAAATCTGAAGCCTCTAGGCAGCTGGAGTTGCAGAACAGCCATCTGCTTCGGGTGGAGAACAAGTGCTCCAGTTGCCCCAGTCCCCACCACTCCCAGCTCTCTCTCCAAGGAGACAAGTGTCACTTACCAGTGGATAGGATAACTGGATTTGGGCTGCTACTTTTCTTAGGGTAGAGAACAATTTCTCTTGAGCGATGTTTCAACCAAAGATCCCGAAATGAAAGATGACTTAAGCCAGGACAAGCGGGAGGGAGGGTGTGTCTCAATGGAAATGAAGAATATGCCAAAGTGTTTCTCATGCAGCCATCAACTTCACCCGCCTGGCTCCTGTGGGCATCTTCAGATCCCACATGTGCCAGCATCTCTTTTCCTCTGGCACTGGGCACAGTTGAGTCCACTGCCTGTGGCCTGCTCCCACCACATCCTGCTCTCCACCCATTACCTGACTAATCCAATGCAGGCAACATGACTCCATCTGCCTGGGTGGCCTGACTCCCGGCCCAGCCCAGTGTGGACATCTTCTTTTTTAAGATAATTTATTTGAGTGGCAGATGGAAAGAAAAAGAGCTCCTATTCACTTGTTTCTCTCCAAATACCCACAATGACTGGGGCTGGGCTGGGGCCAAAGCTGGAAGCTGGGACCTCAATCCAGGTGCCCAACGAGGGTGGCAGAATCTCAACAACCTGAGCCATCGCAAAAAATGGCCTACATGAAAGATCTCGTGAGTGAGATCCTGGTGGAAAGAACGAGCCATCAAAGAAGTAGGTACCTTTCTCTGAAGGGAGGAGAGAACTTCCACTTTGACCATGGCCTTGTCTAAATAAGATCAGAGTTGGGGAACTCAAGAGGCTTCCATAGCCTTGGCAGCTCATGACAAGAGCCTCGGGTGATTACTGACTTCATAAATAAGAGTGTCAATTGTTACATCAACAACAGGAGTCACTGTGCACTTACTCCCCATGTAAGACCTCTGTCCTTAATGTGTTGTACTATGAGAATTAAGATAATTCTTAATTATCTTAAAACTTCTACTCAAACAGTACTCTATAGTTTGTGTGTCTGTGTGGGTGCAAACTGTTGAAATCTTAGTATAGAGCTGATCTTCTGTATATAAAGATAATTAAAAATGAATCTTAATGAAGAATGAGATAGGAGAGGGAGTAGGAAGTGGGACAGGAGTGGGGGTGGGAGGGCAGGTATGGTGGAAGAACCACTATAATCCAAAAAGCTGTATCTACGAAATTTATATTTATTAAATAAAAGCTTTAAAAAAAGAAAAAAAAAAGGCCGGCGCCGTGGCTCAATAGGCTAATCCTCCACCTTGCGGCGCTGGCACACCGGGTTCTAGTCCCGGTCGGGGCGCCGGATTCTGTCCCGGTTGCCCCTCTTCCAGGCCAGCTCTCTGCTATGGCCAGGGAGTGCAGTGGAGGATGGCCCAGGTGCTTGGGCCCTGCACCCCATGGGAGACCAGGAAAAGCACCTGGCTCCTGGCTCCTGCCAGGATCAGCGCGGTGCGCCGGCTGCAGCGGCGGCTATTGGAGGGTGAACCAACGGCAAAAGGAAGACCTTTCTCTCTCTGTCTCTCTCTCACTGTCCACTCTGCCTGTCAAAAAAAAAAAAAAAAAAAAAAAAACCAAAACACTTGAGCCATCACTGCTGCCTCCCAGGGCCTGCACTGGTAGGAAGAGTCAGGAAGCAACCCAGGCAGTGCAGTGCGGGAAGTGGAATCGTACTGCTCACCGCCCACCTGCACCTCGATGCACTTTGGGGTGCATGCATGCACTATGTCTCTTGGCTGTCCTGACCGAGAGCAAGGAAGTACCAGGAGTGTGAGGAAGAAGAAATGCTACCTGAACCACTACCTGTGCTCTCCCCTGAGTATCTCCCAGCCCTAACACGGCGCCCACACAGGGTGGCAGCTCCTCGTTCTCCAACAACGGGCTGGGAAGCAGGCTTGGGAGCTTTATGCCATTTGTCAGTTTGGGAGGATAGATTTTACGTCACTTTCATATGGTGACTGAATTGCTTTTGAGCTTCACGTGGGGCACAGCAGGCTGCGGCTGCTGCCTCTTTTGCAGGCTACAGCATCCCAGCCTGGAAGACAGGAAACCCAGAGTAAATGGCATGAGGATGGAACTGCCCAGGTACCAGGAGGATCCTTTTGCTTGAAAATGATAACAAAGTGTTGGTTCAAGAAATGAAAACATCCAGGCCAGAACCAGGCACTTGTGCAAGTCTGCAACGTTATTAATTTTAGGCAATTACATACAAATACATATGTGGGAAAACTAAATGACCATTTACTTGTGCTTTTTACTTGTGTATGGACAAGATGCTTGGGACATAGGCTGCTGATCTCCAGGAGCTACAAACCACCAGGGACAAAGAGCAGTGGACCACAAATTAAAATACAACAGCACGAATGCAAATACAGTAGGGGGCCTCAAGGCACAGTGGAACCAAACTTGTGTCTGTCAATCACACTTCAGACCTTAGCTGGGATGGCCCTGTGTTAGGGACATCTGCCCCTCTTCTGTGTTCTATAGCACCCTGCTTCACAATTGGAAAGAGTCCATTACTAGTTTCACCCCTGCTCCCAAACTCATCCCACGTCGGATCCCGTAAGATCCAAGAGGGAAGGAGCTGGGTCTGCTGTTTGCGCTCAGCCAGTGTTTGTTTAATTAAGGAATGAAGAGTCCCTCAGTCTTCCCATCTGTAAAGTGGAGAGAGTGATCCGCACCTGAGATTACCAGGAAGGTTAGAATTCTACATACACGGACTCAGGACAAAATCCCTTCCTGATCCTTCCTGTAGAAAGCCGGCAGGAATCGTCCTTCCTGGGCGGCCTTCTCTGATGATGTGGCCACTGAGCAGGACCCCCCCCCCCCCAGTGTAGAAGGAGAAGCCTGATGGGTGATGGGGGCCCTGGAGGGAAGGGGTGACAGCCTGAAGGAGGACAGGTTCGGGGACATGGCCGGGACCCAGTCTTCCGGCTGGAGCAGAACAGTGGCCACAGCATTCTGTGGACATGGGGACTGGGACAGGTAAGTACACAGCTGTGCAATAAGGGCCCATGCACCTGTTATGAGGAATGCATGTAAATGAGAACAATCCTAGAAAAAGTCTGCTGGACCTCTCTTAAGCTTCCAAAAGTTCTTGTGTTTGGGGTTAACTTTCAACGACAGAGATGGGAAAAAATAAGGTGGAAATGCAACAAGCATATGTGAATGTGTGTTTATGTGTATGTGGTGGGGGGAGAGAGTTCACAGAATGGACACAATGTCAGCTTTATGACTAATTCTGTATGATTTGCAATGGGTCAGTACTTGCGGGAAGAAAGGAATGAGCATCTGTCAAGCACTCACTAGGTGTCAGGTGCGCTGGGGCGCCTGTGTCATAATCTGAAGGGCAGGGAGGTGGATCCTCCACACAGGAGAGTCCTGGTGTCAGGGCACAAGCGACTGCTCAAGGTAAATCAGCAGACAGCAGAGCCTGAGCGGCAATGGCTGCTTCCACGCCAGCGTGCGACTCGTCAGTCCCAGGGTCCGTGGCTGCAGGATGTCACAGCACCTGACCCTGACCCTGACCCTGACCCCGACTGTAACCCTGAGAGGCAAGGTTTGCTGTCTCCACCGTGCCGATGGGCAGACAGGCTCACGGAAGAACAGCAACTGCCACAGGCACACAGAAAGTGGCAGGCGTGGGTTTCATCCTTGTGTCTGATTACAAAGGCCAGCTCTGCTGCCACACCATGTCACGAATGCACGTTCCACTGTTATTGACTTATATATTAATTGAATTATATATCAATGATAGATGGCCGTGTGCTTTCCTGATTTTTTGAAATGTCAGATTTTTTTTCCCTTTACCCAGAATGACACCAAATGTGAATCACAGGTGCAATGGGTAAATATTACAACAATCATGCCACTGACACATGCGACACTAGACATAGGGAAGAGTATTTTTTAAAAAGCAGCAGTGTTCTGCCCTAAAATGGGGCAGAGAATCTGTTTCTTAGGATAGATCTTTAGTTCCTACAGGAAACAGTTGATACATCAGTTCAGAAACACGAGGAAGGACGTTTCAATTGGTTCCATCGTTCAAAAGTCTACAGGCCCCCCTAAAAAAATCAATCAATCAATCCCAAGTGAACCTTAAAAAGAAAAAATGCTAAAGGCACCCCCAAAGCTGTATTCTTGCACATTCCCACTAGGTGGGGCCAATGAGCTGTTTAAGAAGCAACTTGCGCTGAGCAAAAAAATAAAACTCCTGCATGGCCTAGGCTGGGACTGCGGCTTCCTGAAGGCAAATGGCTGAAGAACTTCTACCAAGGACGCGATTTAAGACGAATTTGCCAGCGCTGGGGGTACTGAGTGCTTATGTGTTGAGGCAGGCCACTAAAGAATTCCAAAAGGAGCTTAGAAATGCCATCTGCTGGGGTGGTGATCATTTTCTGACATGGTCACAGAAACCATACGTGCAGATTTCTAAAAAATGCTTGGATTTTAAAGAATGTTCTTGAGGAAGCAACAGAACAGTGGTTTGGCTGCGGCACTCAGTAGCGCGTGCTTTTTCTCCAGGGAGTAATTGATGGTTAATCCCAGGGTTCTCTGCTCTGAACGGCAGCCTGGGGCACAAAGCTGTCCGGAGTGGGTCCCGCCACCCTCTGCTCAGCTCCAGTTCGATCCCCACCAATTGCCACACTGCCAGGCACTCCAGACAGGTGGCTCCCCGGCCTTTCTCAGGGGGCGTCTTCCGTCCGTCCGGGAAACGCGTTCTGCTCCTCTTCCCGACCTCTTGCCAGGCCCAGCTGCCAGCTCCTCCCCGGTTCCCCCCTACTCTGCACATGGGTGCACTCCAGCATTTGACCAGCTCTGGAGTTGATCATTTCCTTGTTGCCTGCGTCTCAGAAGACTTCAAACTTCGCTGTATATTCCTGCATGATGAGGAACTGTTTCTGCCCAGGCCATATGCCCGTATGTATGGTTTGATCCTGTATTCGGTGTGGGGGTGGGGAATACAAGCCAAATGTAGGCCCAACAGGATGAGTTTTTCTCTGGGTAAATGAAAATATCCATGTTTTCCATTTCTGATGTTTTTGTTCTCTGCATATTCTCTGAATTTTAAAATAATTTTATACACATGTAATTTGTTCTGATAAGAAAACAAAGTTCCAGTAATTTAGAAAAGTAAAAAGGAAAGTAGATTGAAATGCCGAATCAAAACCATATTTAAGTTTTTGAAATGAAGCTTTAAAATGACTCTGCCCAGTTTTGTAGGATGGCGAAGTCAGCCTGTATTTTGCACGAGATACAAAGCTTGTTTAATTCTAAACACTTTTTTTTTTTTTTTTTTTTTTTTTTTTTGGACAGGCAGAGTAGACAGTGAGAGAGAGAGAGAGAGAGAGAAAGGTCTTCCTTTGCCGTTGGTTCACCCTCCAATGGCCGCCGCGGCCGGCGCACCGCGCTGATCCGAAGGCAGGAGCCAGATGCTTCTCCTGGTCTCCCATGGGGTGCAGGGCCCAAGCACTTGGGCCATCCTCCACTGCACTCCCGGGCCACAGCAGAGAGCTGGCCTGGAAGAGGGGCAACCGGGACAGAATCCGGCGCCCCGACCGGGACTAGAACCCGGTGTACCGGCGCCGCTAGGCGGAGGATTAGCCTAGTGAGCCGGGGCGCCGGCCCCTAAACACTCTTTAAAAAGAAAATAGTCTCTGTTTCTTGGCCACCAGCGGTTCTCTGACATGCACAGAACAAACTCCTGTGCATTTCGAGGCGTCAAGTCTCACCCTTTTCCCCCAGTGCACCCATGTTTATAGCTGACAGTGGAGGGGAGGAATAAATGGGTCGGAGAAGTCATTGCGAAGTGACACCCGCTCGGTCACACAAACCATTCCTGACCCCTGACTCCATTGCTTCCTCTCCAGCAGCACACATGCTGGCTCCTAGTAACCCGACCATCTCGTGGAGCTGAGAAAGTCTTCCAGGTGGCAGTCGCCACAGCAGCAGGGCAGTCTTTATTTATTTATTTATTTATTTATTTTTTGACAGGCAGAGTGGACAGTGAGAGAGAGAGAGAGAAAGGTCTTCCTTTTCTGTTGGTTCACCCTCCAATGGCCGCCGCAGCCGGCGCGCTGCGGCAGGCGCATCACGCTGATCTGAAGCCAGAAGCCAGGTGTTCTCCTGGTCTCCCATGCGGGTGCAGGGCCCAAGTACTTAGGCCATCCTCCACTGCACTTCCTGGCCACAGCAGAGAGCTGGCTTGGAAGAGGGGCAACCGGGACAGAATCCGGCACCCCGACCGGGACTAGAACCTGGTGTGCCGGTGCCGCTAGGCGGAGGATTAGCCTGTTGAGCCGCAGTGCCGGCCAGGGCAGTCTTACTGAGTTAACGGCAGGAATTGCAATGCAAGCTCCAAGCCACAGTGACGGCCTCAGAGCCCACTGGGAGAGGTGGGAGGAATTCCTGCAGGTGGCCCAGCCAACTGTGCCAGAGGGAGGACTGCTGGCCCGCGGGCTCTGCGCATGGCAGAAAGGGACACACTGTGGGATAGGGCTCTGAGCACTCACTCGGCTGCTTCAGGGCACATCCTTGCCTCATCCCAGTGCTCAAACTCCTCGAGGCGGCTCCCACAATTTCTAAGCGAAGTCCCAGCGGCATACACACTGCTCTTCTTCCTCCTGGGTCTTCTCAATGCCCCGCGCCCCATCACTCCCGACATCCTCCTCCCCTGGGGACCCACAGCAGCTCCCATGCATACACTTTCCTCTGCTGCTGTTTTCTCTGAACACCCTTGTCCCCACCCAACGCCCTTCATGCTCCTGATCGGTTGTCACCTCCTCAGGGACATCTTCCCCTACTTGCCCACCTTGTCCCCAGAAGTCTTATTTACTCCCCCACCTTTTGGGGGGCGGTGTTTATTGCAGAGCATGGAGATAGGGACAGGGCAGCTCTTGCTCAACTCCTGGGCTCCCCAAGGGGTTACAGCGAAGGTTTTATGGATCAATGCTGGGGCTGACAGGTGCGTGTTTGGTTTATGTCCAAGTTCCTGGTTGGTCAGCGGTGCTCATGGCCTCTTTGATTGGCTGGCCACACCATGTTCTTTATGATGGAAAGGTGGGCTTCCGTTAATCTGGGGGCTATACGCCAGTGGTAATGACTTCTTACCCTGGACTTGGAGTTCCCCTAAAACATATCCCCTTGAGAAAAAGACGTTATTTATTGGAGAAACAAATGACCTTATGATTCCGGTGGTAGCTGCACTACTTCCTCAATTCGGTGAGTTTAGTGAGAGGCGGATGTGCAACCAAAGCAACAGGGTGAGGCCACCTTAAGCTAAGGGAGAGGCTAGAAGGCCGGGACCTGGTGGTACTCAGCATCTGCATTTGAGACTTTGTGTAGGGGCTGGGTTTCAGCATCCCCTGTTTCTTGCTACTCCTCAGTCCTGAGTAGGGGTGAACAACCAGGAGCTCCCTTAAGTGTGTAAGAAAACATCAGCCTCAAGTCCCGTGAACAAGAACACTTACGAGGCCCTTAGACCCACGCATTCTAGAGGTGGAAGGAAACAGAGCTGTACCTACACCTATCCTGTGGGCTCCTTTCCTACACTTCTATGAGGGATGTATCGCTTTTTCTAATTCACAAATGAGGAATCAAGGCCCAGAGGAGTGGCCCAGGACTACACAGCTACTCAAAGGGGAAGAATAAGGATTCGAGCCCAGGTTGGGTTGACTTCAAAGCGAAATGAAGCAAACCAACAAAAGCGTGCTGCTCCCGCGGCTCCATTCGGGAAGCAGGGCTGACAACCAGGAGTAAGGTTGTTTCTGGCTGCTTCTCAACTAGATTGGATTAGAAGCACTACAGCAGCATCTGCAATCTCTGTTTCTTCTAATTCAGTCATTTCCTGCTGATTCTTAAGAAACAAGAAGAAAAAGGAGGGAAGAAATATTGCAAATAAACAGTCAAGGAAGAGAAGCAGCAGAGATGGAAGGAAGGTGGGTACAGAGGACTCAGCAGTGTGGTAGAAGCTCTGTGCTGGAGACTCTGTGAAAATGACCTTTATGTATTGGGGCTGGCGCTGTGGTGCAGTGGGTTAACGCCCTGGCCCGAAGTGCCGGCATCCCATATGGGCACCAGTTCAAGACCCAGTTGCTCCACTTCCAATCCAGCTCTCTGCTATGGCCTGGGAAAGCAGTAGAAGATGGCCCAAGTCCTTGGGCTCCTGCATGGGAGATCCGGAAGAAGCTCCTGGCTCCTAGCTTCGGATTGGCGCAGTTTTGGCCATTGTGGCCAATTGGGGAGTGAACTAGTGGATGGAAGACCTCTCTCTCTCTCTCTCTCTCTCTCTCTCTCTCTGGCCATTGTGGCCAATTGGGGAGTGAACTAGTGGATGGAAGACCCCTCTCTCTCTCTCTCTCTCTCTCTGTGTAACTCTGGCTTTCAAATAAGTAAATAAATCTTAAAAAAAAAAAAAAAGAAAATGACCTTTGTAAATAGCCCATCTGCCATTAAAACCCATTAGCTTAAAACAGAGGGTGAGAAGCAACAACTTGATGTTCAATTTGGCCCTAAAAGAGAAGTAAATTGCTTCTCAGCTAACAGAGCTTTCTCTCTCATCCCCGCCCCACCCACCCCGCATGCCTGACTCTCTCTCTCTCTCTCTCTCTCTCTCTCACTCACACACTCACACACCAACGCCTGAGGACAGGAGAAGAGACACATCCCCTTGAGAACCTTCTGCAATGAAGGAGCTTCACCAACACATTTAAAAGGAAAATCAGATATTCCCTGACATATAATGGCCCAATCTACAATTTTTCAACTTGACCATGGTTCAAAGGCTACAACATGCAATAGAAACCATACCTTGACTTTTAACTTTTGAGCTTTTCCTAGGCTAGCAATACAGAACCACCATTCTGCTATCACTTTCAGTACAGTGTTCAATCAATTACATGAAATATTTAACACTTTAGTCCAAAACAGGCTTAGGCCAAGGTGAGGCTGACCACTTGCAGTACTGTGGGTGTTCTGAGCATGCTGGAGGTGGGCTAGGCTAAGCTATGATGTTCAGTATGTTAGGTCTGTCAAGTACATTTAAAAAAAAAAGATTTATTTATTTATTTGAGAGGCAGAATTACAGAGAGAGGACTTCCTTCTGCTGGTTCACTCCCCAAATAGTTGCAACACCCAGAGCTGGGCCGATCCCAAGCCAGTCGCCAGGAGCTTCTTCTCAGTCTCCCATACGGGTGCAGGGGCCTAAGCACTTGGGCCATGTTCCACTGCTTTCCCAGGTGCATTAGTAAGGAGCTAGATAGGAAGTGGAACAGCTGGGACTTGAACCAGCACCCATGTGGGATGCTGGCATCACAGGCGGAGGCTCAATCTACTCTGCCACAGCGCCAGCCCTCATCAAGTATATTTTCAGCTTAGGATGGGTTGCTCTGAATGTTAAGCCCTCTGTAAGTCAAATGATCGCCAGAGAAGGCATGAAAGGGAAATGGTAGGTCTGGCACAAAAGAAGGTGAACAGATGCCGCTCTTTTTCAGAGCTTCCTGTCCCCCAGGCAGCAGCACAGCACAGCCTCCCAGTCTGGGGCCCCTGGCTGGAGCGTGGCCCCTCACTCTCATCAGCTCTCAGTCTGCACTCAGATGGAGACAGAAGAGACTGGGGAAGTCGGGCTGGACCTGGGGCGGAAGCACAGGGCCAGCGTCTCTGGGGGGCTGGGGGTGAGCAACACCAAAGCCCTCTAATTTGAAAGAAGCTCATTCCTGAGAGCAAGGTGGGGCCCCCTGCACGTAGAGGCCGGAGCACAAAGACAGCTTTCCGAGGTGCCTTTCACGTCCTAGATGTTTCTTACAGCCCCAGAAATCTTCAGATTGCATCCGTATAATCCATTCTTTCTTTCATTATGGGCTGTGTTTTTCCTCCTCCCAAAGTGTGCAGGATGGAAATTCCATTTCTCTCATGGTCCTCTCCCCCACTTCCTCCTTCCCTCTGGTGCTGGTGAGGTCTATGCCAAGGTTTCACTACCCACTCCTCCCCAAAGCAGGGTTCAGCTCCTGCCAACACCCATTTCCCTCAGGCCATGCTTCTACACCCAGTGTCACACAGACATTTTACAGTTTCCTCATCTGTAAATGCAACCCACTAATAGTGTGGCAAGTCCTTGGGATCAGGTGATTTTCCTGGAGGAGTGATGAGGAAAAGAAATGTGAGTTGGCACCACCAAGGGATGCTGGGTATTGGCTAAACCACATGGGCCAGTCTGACCAAAGGATTCAACGAGGCTTCCCCCACGTTGCTGGTGACACTGGTGTCAACAGAATTCCAGTAACGGGCAGGTGTGGTTCTCCAAAGTCAGAAGAGGCAGCGGTGGTGTGTGAAGGCACGTGATCACAAAAGTCAACCTCAGTGGCTTTCTCTGAATCCCTTTGAATCGGAGTCACCCAGTGTGAAGGGCCACGCTGCCTTGTGGTCCCAGCGGTCACAGTCATGTGGTTCCAACGTGCGGCCGAGGTCCAGAAGCTCTACTCTGTCTGGTCTCTGCTGCGAACATTCATGGCATTGGCTGCAAATGAGCTACTGAGGCTCCAGACAGGCACCAAACTGCTCTATGTGCCTCTCCTGCTCCTGCCCGAGACAGGATTTTCCTCTACCAACGCAGCAGCCTTGCATCCCCTCGTGTCCCTGCACACTCATTCCTTCTGCTCCTTCCTCACTTCAACTCTTCAACCCTGTGCAGTTGTCTATGAAGGGTACAAGCCGCCCAGCTGGGAGACAGAGCAATTTTGAGGAAGGGAACAGGATCCTGAGGCGGGAGGAAAGGGAGCAGGGATGCTAGCCGGGTGCTGGCACTAGCTGCTCAGCACTTGGCTGGCAGCTGGCTCTCCTCACCCAGAGCTCAGCCCTGCTTTGAAGGGGAGGGTCCCCCGGCAAGGGAGATGCAGGCAAACCTCAGGCTGCTCACTGCAGGGAAATCCCCAGAAAAAGAGAATAGAAAAAAATAAATAAAATAAAGTAAACAAGCAAATCCCAAACATCCCAAACAACTCTCCAGCCAGCTCCCTGTGGGAAAGCCGGGCCAGCTGTGGATGGAAACGCTGGGGCCGCTCCTGGCTGGCCTCAGGGCACCGGAGGCTCGGCTGGAAGGGCCGCAGCTGTCCACGCATGGCCAGCCCCCCACTTCCTGCAGCGAGCGTTTCTCTGCTCACTTGCTAGAATCCAAATAGCTGCATGCATCACGGGAAATAACACTGGCCTCTTTCCAAATGCCTTGACAATTCCAGGGAAAAGGCCATCCCAACCCATCTCCCGTGGGGTCACCCCACATATGGGAGCCTCCAGGGACATGGTGCACAGGGAGCTGGGTGCAGGATCGCTCCTGGGCCGTTCCCAGCTGCTTCGAGTGACCCTGTGCTGAGAGAGCCAGAGGTCAGGGAACTCTGTGGGCCTGCCAGGGTCGGTTTTCATGCCACACCCTCCTGCTGGGCTTTGGCGGCAGAGGTGCATCCAGCTACTCCGCCATGGTCAAGCAGGTGGGGCTTCCTGGCTGGAGGGTAACGTGACCACCAGGAAACGAGCACATTCCTTGGCAAGGATCAGGCATGAGGCCTCCACCTTTGCTAAAAAGCTATTTTTTTGTTATGTCATTGTGTCTATTTAATGGGAAGTGGGAGAAAGAACTGTCATGGGAAGCTGACACCAGTCAACCTCGATTATTTTGGGAACAAAACTTCACATGTTTAAATAGCTTGATGGATGAATTAATTGGACGAATGAATGAGGAAGTCCTTCCAGGTCACAAAAGGCAGAAAATGCAAGATGGGGCAGTGTTAACACAGCAGAAGCGTTTTGTCCCTAGTAGAGCATCTGTCATTTCCTGATTGTTTTCTACGTGGCTGGCTCAATGCTTTCTGCTTTACATTCATTATTTCATTCAGTCCTTAGAACAATCTCATGCGGTAAGCAGTATTATCCTCCTGGGACTCGGAAGGAACTGAGGTTAAGAATCTTGGTGGCCGGTGCCGCAGCTCAATAGACTAATCCTCCACCTGCGGCGCAGGCACCCAGGGTTCTAGTCCCGGTCGGGGCGCTGGATTCTGTCCTGGTTGCCCCTCTTCCAGACCAGCCCCCTGCTGTGGCCCAGGAGTGCAATGGAGGATGGCCCAAGTCCTTGGGCCCTGTACCCACACGGGAAACCAGGAGAAGCACCTGGCTCTTGGCTTCAGATCAGTGTGATGCGCCTGCCGCAGCGCGCCAGCCGCGGCGGCCATTGGAGGGTGAACCAACAGAAAAGGAAGACCTTTCTCTCTGTCTCTCACTGTCCACTCTGCCTGTCAAAAAAAAAAAAAAAAAAAAAATCTTGGCTATGGTCACGTTACTAGTCATTAGGATAGTCAGGGTCGAAACTTCAAAATCTGTCCTCCTAATCAGCCTGCTATATGCCAAGGCGTTGGGCCAATACATTTCCCTTCATGGCTGCACATGCTTTCTGATGAGTTTCTTAGGGCCCACACAATGCCAGCACTGGCCATGGGAATGTGGAGGCATGAGCAGGAACAGGGATATGGCTGGGGGACCATGCACAGGCCGCCCCACCCAGCATGGCTGTGTTTCCTGCTAGCATCCCCAAGTCTGATTTCTTATCAGGCAAGCAGGGCGGCCAGACTGCAACATTTTTTAAAAAATTCTTTCAACTCTAAGTGTATACAAGGTCCAGCCAGCACACAGGAAATAAAAATGATCTTTCTGTTTTCTTTTAGGGATGTGAGTGGCAAATAAGCCAAATGAAATAAAAACAGAAACCTGGCAGGCCACACCTCCCTAAACCGGGACAAGCAGTACTGAGCTGATCAATTCTGCTCCTAAACAGCAGCCCACATGACTGGCACAGGGCGTTTCCACAATGGAGGCATGTGTCTTCGAATGTGTGCACACAGTTGTGAGTTTCTGAGTGCACATGTACACGCGCATGGACAGGTAAACACACACCCCCACCACAGAGAATATTTACTCCTACTGACATGAGAAACAAATTGTTTTTCTTTTACTAAAACCCACAAACATTAAAAATTAGTCACTTTATGTCAACATATTTAGTCTCTTGTTCTTGTAAAGGCAGAGCTGCGTATTTTCCAAGTTCTCATTTAACCACAGGAGCAGGTGGGTGACAGCCACACCCCACAATGCATCGTCAAGGCAGGAGCATGACTCGAAATCATCCACTGTTTCTGTATTCTCAAGATCCCTATCGCTGATCTCCACAGGCTCTCCCATGCTGACACTCCAGGGTTGCAGCATCCCGACTTGCTTTGTGAATCCAGATCTCTCCACCTTTCCACCCTTATGCATCTCACTGTTGCACTGTTACGCCCTGACCGTGCCAGTGCAATGGACCCAGCCTGATCTCCACAACGTGATGCTGCCTGTTCCTCCATGTGGTCGGTACAAGCGCTGGCCCCTCTCTCAGCTGCTGCCCTCTTCTCTTTCCCACCTTTGCTTGCCAAGACCTTCACAGCCGGCTCCACAGCTGTCGGGGATGTGGCTCCCGCCCTCCCGTGCCTGGCACTGGTCAGCACAGTTGGACCAGTTGCTGGCAAAGGCTGCTTGTGCCTCTTGAGTGGAGATGAGCGAAGGAGGACTGAATGCACCTGTCTGCAGGGTGAAACTGATGTCTACCTGGCCTGGGCCCCTGCCGTGGGGTTGCTCAGCTCTCTGAAGGCTGGGCAGAGTAAGGAATCCTCCTGTTTGCCCCTTCCATCTGGGCCTTTCATCAGGAGTAGGGGAGAGTAGGGGAAAAGAACTGGCTGGGAAGCATGGAGCCGCGCTCTAGGGGACGCTGCAGATGCGCATTTTATTTCTTTGGAGGGAAGCTGAAAGGGCCCAATTTTTAATGACCCTGAAGAAACAGGATTTGTTACTTGGGGGTGTTCTGAACTTTCAGGGCATGGGTCCCTGGAGGAAGAATTTAATCCCCCTGGGAAAACAAAGACATCATAGAAGCTGCCCAGCCTGGCTGAATGTACTTCGGGACAGAGCTTGCCATCACTTAATAAGGTCTCTATTGTGTGTGTGTGTGTGTGTGTGTGTGTGTGTGTGTGTGTGTGTGTGTGTGTGATGGGGAATTTCTTCCTCAGTGAGCTTGGAACTCAGGGACCTTGCAGTTTGGTTAGCAGTCTCACTGCTTTGGTGGAAACAAAGTGTGTCTTTGACGGAATAAACAGAAATGGAACGAAAAGATACTTTCATTTTAATAAAATAAGACCTGATGCTAGAAATTTCACACCTCCAACTGCAACATGTTCTCAAGCTCCCACGGAGACCATGCGATCCTGTCTGTGCTCGGTTTTGTCACTGACTCTCATCTCTGTAGGGGGGTCACTCGGCTTCCCCTCCAGAGAAGCTCATTCTGCCAGGTATTAACCACGTAGCCCTGGAAAAGTCACTGTCCTCTTCATGTCTCAGCTTCTCTGTCACCTCGATTTTGTCAACAAGCCTTTGAATCCTGTTATCCCTCCAAATCAGGGACCAGAAAACTACAGCCCAAGGGCCAATCCCTACAGCCAAGGGTCTATACCTGTTCTTATGTGGCTCTAAGTAAGCATAGCTCTTATCTTTTTAAATAGTTGAAAAAAATCAAAGAAGAATAATATTTCAAAACTCATGAATAGTATACAAAATTCAAATTTTAATGCCCATAAAACAGCTTTATTGAAGCCATACCCATTGTTTATCCATTGTTTCTGTCTGCTTCCACACCTCACACAATGAACAGTTGTGCCAGACTGCACAGCCCACAAGAGACTTGGATGGCTCTGCACCATTCCAAGTCCATGGCCAATGTGACTCTATAGTTTTCAAATCCATGTGGTTATAAACGAGTCACTGAGCTGCCTTCCAAAATTGACCTGGCAATAAACAGTCCAATATTTCTGCTATCTTGGAAGAACACCCATAAGAAAGCACATTTAAAACAAGAAAGAAGTGAGTTCTGTTCCTTAGACCTGAACCTCTATGACTTTCAGAGTATGGGGAGAGGCAAGCCCTGTTCGCTCCTCACTCCCATAGATTCTCGACTCACGAACCATGAAAACAATATGAAGTTTACAACGAGGGAATGTGTTTTAGAAGGCAAAAACAATTTTTACTTGTCAAGGCTCCCTCCTCATTTCTTCTTTTGATATTTCATTATGAGCCTGGAATTTTAGACTTTTTAACAATAGAGGGCATTCTCTGCTGCTGTTGTTACAGGTGTTTTCCTCTCAGTACAAGAAGGAAATCATCCAAGGCATCAAAATTTCATAGCAGCGCTGCTTTAGCTCAAGAATCAAAGATGATGTCCTCTTCCTTTATATACTTTTGGCCTCAATTGTCAATCCTAGAAAATTTTCTCCTATGTGGAAAATAATAAGAGCAGAAATAAAATCCTTTGAGATGGTAGTGACAGCTGCACAACAGTGGGAATGCGCCCAATGCCATTGGACTGAACACTTACAGACAGTTGAGATGGTAGATTTTATCTCATGTACATATAATTGCAAACATTATTTAAAAGAAAAAATAACCCACAGCTATACATTTTTGGAAAAAACACCCACTTTAAAAGTTTCAAGGCAGAAGATTTTTATATAGAGTTCCATCAGCAAAATGAAAATAAAAATTCTTAAAGAAGGGGTTTTGTAAGACCTGAAGCTTTATCAGGAAAAAAAAAATGTGTGTTAATATGCGATTATGTGTGCGCTTATGCAGGTCTCTGTCTTCTTAAAAAACACCCATAGGGCTGGCATTATGGTGCAGTAGGTTAAGCTGCTGCCTGCGACACCATCATCCCATTCCAGCTCTTGCTAATGTGCCTGGGAAAGCAGAGGAAGATGGCTTAAAACCCTGCCACCCATGTAGGAGACTTGCAGGCTCCTGGCTTCAGCCTGAGCGAGCCCCAGCCATTGTGGCCATTTTAGGAGTGAACCAGCAGCTCTCTCTCTCTCTCTCTCTCCATCTCTCCCTCTAACTCTGCCTTTCAAACAAAATAAGTAAATCTTTAAAAAGAAAGGAAGGAAAAAAGGAAGGAAGGAAACACTTATGCCTATCTCCTCAACATGAATTCAATTCCCTCTGTTATTGTCAGTCTTAGAAATGAAAATGCCTGAAAGAATACTTCATTTAGAATAATTTCTCTCCATTAACGCAAAATGCCCTGTACCCCGTACCAGTAACAGAAACCAAGACAGAATGATTGCGTCTGAGAACCTCTTTATAAGCTGTTATAACATTGATGCCAGTGACACCAAAGGTAAAAACCATACCCACTGAGCATCCCCCAAGATGGCTCTGAGGTGTATGTACGAAGGCAGCTGTACGTGTCAGGAAAGCCATGAGTTCCAAAGAAACACAGCACCACAACAGACACCCTGAACTAAAAATGGAACTTAGCTATGGGCAGACATGCCAGCCATAAAGAAAAGGCTTCTTCAGTCATTTGCCCCAAATCAAAGCTGGATGTGGATGTGCCCTAACATCTCATCTGATTCCTATGTAAGTGCCAATGTTTTTCAAAGGTTAATAATCTATGAACCTTTCAACTGTGCTCTGAGTACTCAGGTACTTTCTACCGTTCCCTGGAGCAGAGGTGGAGCAGGGTGAGTCGTGAAGACCCCACTGCTTACTGCCCAGGCCTGGCAGTGATGGGGTCAACAGTCTAAGTGCCAACTAGCGATGACACTGCTGGTGCCAAGTGATGCCAATGACAAAGGAACAGTCATGCTCTGTGTCTCTTGGTGCAGTCCAGCAGTGATGATCCAATACACAACAGCATGGTGTGAAGCTGACATCCACTCAAATAGCCACTGTCTTGTCTGCTTCACTCAAACCCTGCACACTCGGCTCCCACCCCCGGCCTCCAACACACACACACACACACACACACACGCGGACATTGGCCTTTGTGTGCTGAGAAGTTTTGAGTTTTCAGAATAAGAGAGAACTCTAATTATAACTCAAAGTATGGACACTGGATATGCTGCCAGATTGTAACGCCTGAGTGTGATTGCAAAGAGATGGTCCCTAAGCAAACCACACCTCTCCAGGCAGTAAGGCCTGTAGGTTTAAAAATGACACAGTACAACACAAGAAATGCTCTATTTAGTCGCCATCATTTCAAATTCTGGAGAGTTCGCCTGAAGTGTTGCACTTTCCACTTCTCTTGATTTAGAAATACCAGGCCTGTGTCCCACAATGCATCTGTTGAGCGGCAGGGTAGGTGCTCCTGTGGCTTGCAATTTCTCACTACCTGGCAACCAACTCAGAGGTGTTACCTGCCTGGCTCTGCAGGCTTTGGGGTTGAGTTTTCTGATTTATAAACATCATGTCTTTGGAGTTGCCCCAGTAGTCAGCACTCACTCTTACATGCGATTCTCTCATTTGAATCACTCAACAACATGCTATGCATGGACTCAGAGAGCTGAAGAAAGACACCTGACTGTGGTCTCTCAGCTGGACACCACGCAGAAAGTGGCAGAAATGAGGCTCTTTGGAGCTCCAGTGATGCAAGATGGTAGTCGCCACAGCTTGCACCATTTACAAAAACCAAATATACAGCCTTCAAAGAGAATGTGGGCCGGCACCGCGGCTCACTAGGCTAATCCTCCGCCTGTGGCGCCGGCACCCAGGGTTCTAGTCCCGGTCGGGGCGCCGGATTCTGTCCCAGTTGCCCCTCTTCCAGGCCAGCTCTCTGTTGTGGCCCGGGAGTGCAGTGGAGGATGGCCCAAGTGCTTGGGCCCTGCACCCCATGGGAGACCAGGAGAAGTACCTGGCTCCTGCCATTGGATCAGTGCAGTGCGCCGGCTGCAGCACGCTGGCCATGGCGGCCATTGGAGGGTGAACCAACGGCAAAGGAAGACCTTTCTCTCTGTCTCTCTCTCGCGCTATCCACTCTGCCTGTCCAAAAAAAAAAAGAGAGAGAGAGAGAGAGAGAATGTGGACCTAAAAACTCAGAGGTACCCCCCTTTATATGACTTGTAACAAAAGCATTACTATGAACAGAGTTAATAGTTTTTTTTTTTTTTTTTGACAGGCAGAGTTAGTGAGAGAGAGAGAGAGAGAGAGATAGAGAGAGAGAGAGACAGAGAGAAAGGTTTTCCTTCCGTTGATTCACCCCCAAAATGGCTGCTATGGCCAGTGCTGTGCTGATCAGAAGCCAGGAGCCAGGTGCTTCCTCCTGGTCTCCCATACAGGTGCAGGGCCCAAGCACTTGGGCCATCCTCCACTGCCTTCCTGGGCCATAGCAGAGAGCTGGACTGGAAGAGGAGCAATCAGGACTAGAACGCGGGGTGCTGGTGCCGCAGGCGGAGGATTAGCCAAGTGAGTTGTGGTGCCGGCCCAGAGTTAATAGTTCTAACGGAGTGGTGGCCCCAAGAGCCACATCAGTGCTAGTAAAACGGCAGAAGTCACACAGCATCAGAGTCGTGCTGCAGGAGCTGCATAGCCCGACGATGCCTATGGAGAGCATGAAGCTCCCAGGGAGTCCCCTTGCCATCCTGCCACGTGGGGGCACGGCTGGAATCGCCACCTCTGAAGCAGAGAGCAGGCCTTGCAGACTCTCCTAGGCTGGGGCCTTGATCTTGGACGTGACAGCCTCCACAACTGTGAGCAGTAAATCTTTGTTTTTAATTTGCCCAGGCTGGGGCATTTTGTGCTAGCAGCCCAAACAAGACAGGCCACGTCTGGGCTGTGACATCAAGCTGTGTGTGTTCCATCCTCAGTTCCGTGGAGCTCTGTGACACAGGATAAATGACTTCACCCTTCACCTGGCCTGGCTTTCTTCCTCTCTAAGATGCACATAAAACAGAATTAATCTCATAGAATGGGGTGCAGATTAAATGAGGTAACACATTAACACATTCCTTCCAGCACCTGGCTCAGAGCTCCACTCAAACATTTTCCCTGTTATATCCTCCAAGGCTAAACACATCCAATGGGAAAATATATAGTTATTGCAGGCCATTTAAAGTTCTTCCATGCTAAAATGTTTTAATAAGACACAGACATAAATCTCCACCATAAATCTATTTTAAAACAATTATACTATCAGAAATAAATGAAGTAAAAGGAAAAAGCAGGACAGTCTGTGTCATTCTGTGTCGACAATGTGCCAGAACTGGAAGGAATCTAAACCTGCCTGAAGCCAGTAGGTTTACAACGTTTTGGTTGCAGGAGAACCCATTTCTTCTAACATAGCCTCCC